AAGTCATTTTTAGAATTTATGTACAAGCAAGTCATTTTTTTTATCCTTAGTTGTTTTTCATACTCTTACTCTAAGGACTTGTTTTTCACCATCTCCAATTATATCAATGTTCCTTATTTTACACATGTTCCGTACTCTTATTTTAATGGTCTATGTACATTTTTTTTCCGGCCACAAATTATACCGATATTCTACCTTTCGATTATATGAATGTTTCTTTATTTGCTACTCTTTTTTTATTCGTAGTTGTATTTTGTACTTTTTCCCTAAGCTATTCATTGGATTTTAAACTATATCATACACTTGATGCACTAATATAATGTGTAACCTTGACCACATTATAAAAGCCTTGAAATTTCTATTTGTATTACGATCATTCACATAATATGATGATAATTTAATGTGAAATTTGCACTGAATAGGACTAAAACATAAATCATTTTCTAATGTAGGACTTAAACTTTTTTATTCCCTAAATAAGACTTAATAATGATTAGTGAGAAGAATAATGTCCAAGTGATGCTGGATATTTAACTTTTAGGAAATTTAATTTAAAGGGGGATATTTTGTGCAGAGTTTCTAAAAATACCTTTGATGTGATGAATAGATTACTAATAAATGTGATTTTTTAATAGGGAGACAAAGGACTTTGTGGGACAAGAAAAAAAGAAATGAGAAAGAGTTTTTGAGACGGATGGAGTACTAAAAATCCCATCCATAAACGATATTAGTACTCTTTGGGTATTGAATAAACAAGTCTCACTTGAATAATAAACTTATATTGTATCCAAATACACAATGTATGAAATGAGGTCCTTAACACCTTTAACGCTCAACCATACATTATAAAAGCATGTGATCTTCAACTCTGTTTTTTCAAGCAATGCTCTTCATTAGTCTCCTGTAAACGTGTCGTGTCACCAGAGCTCAACTTGTTAAAACCATATTTTGAGTCCTCAAATTGCAAGTAAAGTCCATTAATCTACAATCATATACACAATGTATGAAATTGGGTTATTACAATATATAAAATGAGCTCTATATTCTAATACACAAGCACAATCATACGCAATTATGTCCAAAGCTTGTCATCCCCATTTACACATCTATCTTAAAGTCTTTTTAACACAATCTTCACAATCATGCTCTTAAAAACA